GTCTCTCCGGCTCCGTCCGTCTCTCCGCCGGCTTGATGTGGACCCGCGCATGGCCCGACCCCAACCTCCCAGCATCCAGATAGCATGACGACGGTTTTTTTTTTCCCCCACCCGAAAACGATTTGCGTGCACCATACCGCGTTGGCGTCTCCCGAGGCATCTTCGATCCTTGACCCAGCAATTGTATGGTGCTTAGTTTTCTGGCCATCAGTCGGATATAGTCAGGACCCCAGACAAGGGGAGGTTGTTAGTGATTGGGCGCAGAATCCGGAATCAAATGCTGGAATCACGAAACCGGATTTGTGTTGTAGTTGGTGCTTTCTCCGGGTGGCGACAGTTCGGGTTAGTGGAATGGGGGTGAATTCTAGTATGCATCCCTGAACCAGGTCCCTCTCAACCCAGTCCTGCCAACGCCCGACGCAGAGCCGACGAACCATGCACCTTGCTATTTGTTGGAGCTTGGCTCGAAGGGAGTCCAAGCATGGTGCGGTGCATCGGCGCCGTTCTCTACGTTGTTCTACCATTTGTCGCCGGCGTGCCCAGGGGGGAAGTGAGAGGGGGCGGGCGAAGCCTCCGGCCTTTGAGAAGTGTTCGAAGCCTGCCCCGAAGATAGAAGTTGTTTCTCAGAAGGCCGGAGGGCTTCTGAGGAGGCCTTCTGAGAAGGCTTGCCCCGTCTCACCACCACCCCCCGGCGTGCCGCCGAGTGGAGGCCCGCTCCGGGCAGATGGGCCACCAAGGTCAGGACCCCCACAGCAGGGGGCGGGTCCCGTGGTGATGGGGCCGAGGCTCTCTCAGAGCGTGAATTACCTACCCCGCTTTCGCTTCCAGGCAACACCAAGTCATACCACGCGCCTCCTCGTCAAGCGGCCTGACCAGTACAGGCCGTAGTTTGGCATCGCTTGGTAGCTCTTGGAAGCGAGGGTGGTCAAATGCGAGGCAGGTTTTGTTTGCCCCCTACTCTCGGCAGGCCTGCGCCCGTGGTCACAGCGCTGGAGGTCATGGGCCTGGCATCGCTCGGACGTGTGCATTTTTCCTTCGGCGAGGACCATCGAGGAGCATCCTTGATCATTCGGGGAAAAACCACGCACGAAACCGAAAAAAACACAGGGAATGGACGTCCGAGCGATGGCGAGTGGGGAGGGTGGTCACCGCCACAGCCTCAGTCTCAGAGGCAACGATCAGGGGGGGGGGACGCAGCGGCCCCCCATCGACCACGGATCGCTGATAGGGGCGCGACGGCCCAAATTTGCCCAGAAGCATACGGATTCACGGTTGGGGGCCTGTCGCCGATCTATCGGTGGTGTATCGCCGATTCCATGTCGATGGCCCCCCCCTCTAGCGTTGCCCTTGTCGTTGCCCCTCGCAGTCGGCTATATGTAAGAGTGACCTTCCGCCAGAGTTCGGGGTGGTCGAAGAGGGTACGGAGAGAATGAGTGCAGAGGCCAACAGCAGTGGTGCAGAGGCCAGCAGCAGTGCGTGTCCATTGTGACCAGGGATCGCTGTCGGTGTCGCCGCGGGTGTTGTCCACTTGAGACGGAAGGCCGCTTGCCCGACAGCGGCCGCTCTCGGTTACGGATTACGTTTGTTGTTGGGCATCGTACCAAGTTGATCCGTATCCCATTCGAGCGTCCAAACCAAAGGAGTGATTTTTGGTGCCAGCATTTGTGGGGCCCCCAGATGGCTGAGCGCGACGCGATAACAGCGGTTTGCGCGCTCCAGTTCGGCTGCCCCGCGGCCCCCGAAAGTCGCGCATCAAAGGTCGTTCTTGCCTGGGGTTGTTCTCACGTGTAGCCGACGTTCGTAGGAGGCGCTCGTTGGCTCTAGGGGGTGCTCGTTGGCTCGTAGAGGACGTATTCGTTGGTTCTTGATGGTTTTGTCGCAGCGGGATGCTTCTCAACAGCTGCGCCTCGTCTGGATTTTTACGGGGATGCCCACATCATCTCGAACAGCCGCTGGAGACCAGAGTTCGACCCCGAAAGCCACCAGTCGGTCCGGGGGTGCGCAGAGGGTGTCCAGGATCCGGTCCACCAGCGATGAGCCAGACCCCCTATTTTCGGTCTCTGCATGGGGGCCCTCGCCGGGCCCCAGGACCACAGGAGAACGAATACAGGTGAACAGTTGATTCCAGGGAGTCGATCGAGACTTCTGAGGGTCGACATCTTGGACAAATCGTGACGTCGATGGTCTGGGACCGATGGTGTAGGGATCATTTCGCACGAGGTATTGCAAGTCTGCATCCAGAAGATCAGCACATATTGCACGGGCACCGTATTTGGTGCACCAGCAGTGGTGAACCAGAAGCTCGTGAATCGTCAGTGAGGAGGAGGTCGTGTACGAGAGATTCCAGAAGCCGACGACCAGCAGGGGGAGGGTATGGGCAGAACGAGGTAGAGGGCTCAGGAGGTGGGGCGGGGGAGGCGGATGGATGCAGGGAGGGAGGGGGGAAGAGGGATCCGAGGAGCAGGCGGAGGTGGAGTGGAGGAACGCGGGGCAGGGCGGGGGCGACAGGAGCAAGAGAGGAGGCTAGGTCCTCCACGGTGGCGCTCGGGCGATCGTGCCCCGTGGCCTGAACCGGAGAGGCGCTCCAGAGCAGCTGCGCGAGGGCGTGAGGGTAGCGGCGCGACGCGCCTCGTGCGGCGCGCAGCGCGGCGCTAGGCGACCTACGCAGGACTTGGCATCGCTCGGACGTGTGCATTTTTCCTTCGTCGAGGACCATCGAGGAGCATCCTTGATCATTTGGCGAAAAAGCCACACACGAAGCCGAACAAAAACACAGGGAATGGATGCCCGAGCGATGGCAGGAGGAGGGTAATCAAGGGGGAAGCCACCCCGGCCCCCAGAATCTGCGATCACGGAACGGCCCAGGGCGTTTATTGAGCAGCCCTGCCCTATTCGATTCATTCCTCGGGTGTGTTTACGAATATGCTTCGCTCGTCGGGGTGCATATTATGAGGGGTGTATTGTACGGAAACGGCGAGGGACCATCTCGTGGTCTCTGGCCCATCCCGCCATTGCGTCTGGGTCCTGGAGGGGGGCTCTCGGGCAACCTTTGAAGCCTACTGACGGTCGCGGCGTTCCTCTTTGGGCGGAGGGCTCCACGTGTCAGTTCGAGTTCGGTGTCTCGAGCTCTTCTGTGGGCCCTTTTGGGGGGGCCTCTTGGGTGCTCGGGGGCCCTACCTTGGAGCGATGTTGGGGGCCTGCCAGGCCGGCTCGGACGCTCTTAACACACCGCAGAGCCGGCAATGCTAAGATCAAACGCAGCCTCCCGCAAGTGTGAATCAGATTGATGTAACAAGCGAACGCCAGAGTCGGGCGCGCTCCTCTGGGGAGCGCGCCCGGGTAGGGGCATGGTGTTGAGGCAATTGCGAGCAGCGCGACGCGAGCGCAGTGCAAGAAGGCCGGGGCAAACGAAGGGAAGAGATGCGGGAAAGCGAAGAGAGCTGTAGACCATTCCGCCACCCGTCCAATTCGGGGCTCGTATGAGTGGAGGTCTGGCCCTGTGGCTGTGATGTTTTTGTCGACGACGGCCACGACGAACTATCCACTCCACCAGGCGAAAGTCCACGGCCCCGCAGCGTTTTGCAGGAGCCCCCAGAGCGCGAAACACCACATGCGCGACGCAGAAGCACAGGGCCGCCTTCACCGGCGCTGGCGCTTGAGTTGCCCGCAGAACGCCGCGCGTTAGCGCCCTCCTTCCCAATGCAGCGTGCCACGCTGGCGGCCTGCGTAAGCCACCGCGTGCGGTCGCAACGCCGTCTCGTGTAAGATCTCTGTTTTCTCGTCGCTCGCAGCGGCCGCCCCCCCGGCCCTCCCCGCGCGCTCTTCGCGCATCGTCTCGCGATATCCGACCCCGAACCGAACCTCTGGGTCGGTTTGTAGGTCGCCGCGGCGATCACGACGGCCATCATAAGTCGGTGAAATGTTGTAGTCCTCCATGGGAGCCTCATAGGGTCCCAAAATTCGTTTGCTGTTTTGGAGATTGTGTCTGGATCTCGTTGGATTTGTTCGATATTCGGACGACGCCTTGACGAACTCTGGACGAAAGGCTGAAGAGGGGTGGTCGAAATCTGGACGCAAGGTTTTTGTGCAGAAGTGGCATGCCTCTTCCCAGGTTCCCAGGCCCACCCCCACCCCCCGCTCTGCGATGTTGCCGTGGTTCAGCATAAACCATATAGCGACAGAGTGCTGCCAGTTTACGTCGAACGTGGGCCGTCATGCTCCTTCGGTGAGGGTAGGTGTTCGATCATGGACATCATGGACCGCTTGTGGAACACCACTGTCCCGCTTTCGTGCCGAAGACCGCTGGACACCGCCATAGACCGCCAAGGGTCGTTCGAAGGCCGTCAGAAGACCGCCGAAGACCGCCGCAAGCCGACCGAAAACCGCCGAAGACGGCACAGGAGCGATGGGTACGGTGGGGGGGGTTGGGCGATGGGGGGGAGCTCGAGCGTTTGTTAAGGAGTGTGCCCAGGAAGCTGCAGACCCTGGAGGAATCCTTACCTGACGAGGGCGGCGGTGATTATCCATGGCCGATCCACGATGCGAGCTCCACCGTCTTCCAGATCCAATGGTTCCTTGCCCAATGCCCTCACCGTCACAAGGGGTCCTTGGTCGATCACGTACGTCAGGGGTCGATTATCATGCAACCAGCGCAGGCCCTCCCCGCGCACCCTTGCCGCGCGTGCCGCCTCTCTTTCCCGCCGCGCGTGCGCGGTGACGGGGGCAGACTCTCGTTGCCAGACTCGCTGGCGGCCTCCACAAGGTCAGCGGAGGAGCAGGTATCCATGCTGCTACCCCTGCCTCGTGTTCCCCCTTGTTGTGCCTCCTGGGAGGCCCTCGTCGCCACGAAGCCCTGGTCAGAACGCACCCCAGGAGAGGTCCGGGGAGTAGCGGTATCGGCACCTGTCGGTTTACCCACCAAGGGGGTGGCGCGAGTGGGGTTGGGCTTCTACCAGACTGGCTGCGCTCACACGTGCGCAATCGCAGTCCATGGCACTGCCATGGACGGCGATGGACTGCGATGGACGGCGCTGCGCTTACGGGCGCCCAATCGGCGTCCATCGCTGTCCATCGCAGTCCATCGCACCGCGATGGACTGCGCAGAACAAACAATGACATAAGCATACACTTCCAGAGGTCCGCGCGGCTTTTTCATATTGGCGCTGGAGCCCCCTGGCGGCGTCTTCAGCGCCGTCCCTGGTGCCCTCCGCGCGCCAGGGAGGGGGTCCAGAGCCGATCCGAGAAATCTGCACGGACCCCCGAACTTGTGTGCTTATGCCATGGTTTGTTTCCCCAACTCAGTCATGCCCTCTCCACCCCCAGCCCCCAACCACAGTGGGTCCGAGGCACTGCGCTCGGCGGTCACCGCCGCCAGCATTGGCAGCGGGGCAGTGGAGCCTCAGATGATCACGTGACCGCAGTGCGACCTTGCAGCGATTCGCATAATACCCCATGACCCCATGCCTACTTCTACCAATTCTGTTCGGGGGAAGAGGGGAGGGTGGTAAGAAGGCAGCGGGCATTCTTGGAATCGGTGGCGAGCGAGGGGGGGAGGTGAGAAGGAGAAGTTCTTCTCAGAAGGCGGCGGGGCTTCTCAGGCCCCTATCACGCCTTCTGCGAGGTTTTCTGTGTCTCCGGGGAAGGCGTTGGAATATTCTCGGAAGGCCGAGGGACTTCCGAGCCGTCTGAGAAGGCCCTCCCCCTCTCCCTTCCCCCCCCCACGGGCTCGTCGCCGTTCGACACCGGGGGCATCCTGGGAAGCCCACCCGTGGCCGCCGAGTTTGGGTGATGTGGCGTGTTTTTTGTTGCCTTCTTGGGCCAAGGGCCCGGGGCCTCCGAGACGGCCCTCTCGGGGGCCCCTGGGACCTCTGGCTCGGGGCCCCGCTGGGCCGTCTTGGGGGCCCCTTGGCATGGGTATGCGCCTGCACAGTCGAGCCGCGCAGGCAAGCGTGAGCAGCTTTCCAGGGCTACCCACTCGACGCCTGAGCCAGTCCGGCTGCCCATCGGGCTCGATGTCCGCCTCTCTTTTGCAACTGAGCTCGTGCGTCTGCCCACCTTGGCCGGTGAAATGGGCGCAGACGCGGCATGAATGCAGAAGGGCACCTTAGCGCTGTGCAGCCAACGAGGATAGCAAGGACGAGCGATGTTACCAGGTCGCCCTTTTGCATCCTCCCCCTGCGGCCCATCCTTGGCCACTTCCGCTGCGCGCGCCTCGCTCTCAAAGTGGCGGCATGGCCCTCCAAGACCATTGCATCCTTACCGTGCATCCTCATGATATGGCTTGGCTGTAGCCCGTTTTGGGCATGGTGCAAGCTGCGGTGGAAGGAAACAGCTACCGATCACTTCCCCTCCCCCCGAACTCAAAGTTCACGCGCGGAGGAGAGTGCGGTCGAAGTGCAATTCATCAGGCTCACCGCCGACTTTGAACATTGGGATGAGGGGGAGGAGGGAGGCGTTGACACGTTAATGTGGCCGTAATGATCGTTACTTCTGTTCCGAGGCTTGTATGCGGTGTAAACTGTGTGCAGTATGCGCGGTGCAATCTAGGATGGCAACGACGCGGCAACGAGTGGCGCAACCTCGCCGGAGCCACCCAGCGCACGAGGCGGCAACGAGGTGGCCAGCGGGGCTCACTTGGTGGCCTCTCGGGGTCAGCCAGGACTACCTGGGTGTCTGTCTGTGCTCAACCCGAAGCTCGGCGGCGAGCGAGGTGGGAAGTGAGAAGGAGAAGGCCCCCTCAGAAGGCGGCGGGGCTTCTCAGAAGCCCTCTTTGATATAAGTCTTCTGCGTCTGCGCGGAAGGCCTGCTGAGAAGACCCGGGGGCTCCCGAGCTTTCTGATCAGTCATCCCCCCGCACTCCCCCCCCGGGGCTGGCCGCCGCTCGAAGCCTCCTCAGCCGGGATCTCCAGGTCTTCCCTGCCGCGGGATGCCCCGCGCGGGCCCTCGCGCGAACGCTCCGCGCCCAGCGGGGGGCCACCACTTCCGGCCGCAGGCGCAGCGGCCGCCGCGGGCGACAAGGCTTGCGCGGCCCCGCTCGCCTACCACCTGGTGGTGGAGCTGTCCCTCTTGGGGAACACCAGGCTCCCGACAGGGGTCCCCTCAGTCGACGGTGAGCCCAGGGGGGGGAATAAGAAGAGGCGGGCTTTCTCAGAAAGCTGGGAAGTCCCCCCGCCTCCCGAGAAGTCTTCTAAGCCTTCCCCGACGGCACAGGACGTTTCTCAGAAGGCGCGAGGGCTTCTGAGAAGTCCCGCCGCCTTTGAGAAGGCCTTCTCCTTCTCATTTTCCCCCCTCGCTTGTCGCCGACTCAGGTCAGGGCGTCGAAGTCTGATCGCGGCGACGTGTTTGTTTGTTTGTTCGTTTGTTTGTTTGTTGGTTCTTTCGGACCCGGCAGGCCGTTTTTCGGCCCCTGGACTGTGAAATTATGATTCGCGATGAGCAGTTGGTCCCCAGCAGCGTGCGATATGTATATATATATATGTGTATATATACATATATATATATATATATATATATATATCCATTGCGCCCCTAGTTTCTGCGGAAGGGGGGCAGAATTCCAAGACGCAGTGGATATGAACATGGTCCTTGTTTTGTTCCGTTGCAACCGACGGGATCGGTCGCTTCCGATGTTGCCTCAGATTATGGTATCGGTCGCGCCCGACTTGCTTCGCTTCAACATCCATCGCTACCGATCTTGGAGTCGGCCGCGATCGGTCGCGACCGATTTGGAGTTCCGATTGGGCACAACTGATCGCGATCGATAATATGTACTATCTATTATGTTGGGTCGGACCACGATCTCCTCGCGTCGTGAAGACATCGCGACGGCCGTGTTTTGTAGTTTCTGCCCTGGCGGTCCACGCTGGGCTCCAGGACCGCCGGGGGCAGTGGGGTCCACGTTGTGAAGCAAGTACGGCGTCGGGGTATGGGTCGGAACTCGATTCGAGATCAGACGGGGCAACTATACCACTGCCGCTGCCTTTCCCCCGTCGCCACGGCAAGCCCCGCCTCGAAGTGTTGGTCAGAACCCGCCTTGAGAGATGTCCGCGGAGAGGCAGTACCGTTATCTCTTCTTCCCCCCACGAGAGGCACGCCGAGGGGGGGGGGCGGAGGCAGTGGGGCTGCGGGCCCACCTGGGCACCCTCCGCCGCTTTATGCGCGGCAGGCGCCGCTTGCAGCGACGGCGGCCGTTGCGCGGATGGCTCAAGAGTGGAGGGTGAGGGCGGGGCCGAATGTCGGTAGTGTAGACGGGGGCAGTGGCCGGAGTAGCAGGAGATCATGATAATGATGCACGTTCCATGAGTCTGCAGGCTTACGCCACAGCCGCCGACCCCTTGTTTCGACGGAGGAGCTTCTATGGAAGCCGCAGGAGAGTCAGCTCCCAAGACGCCCAGGGATATTCTCTGGGCCGTCGTGGCGCCCCGCTGGGTAAATACATTCCCGTTTTCGGGCTCCTTGGAGCCGGCTTGTGTATGCTGAAGTTGGCGGAAACCCAGCAAGTTTATACAACGAAGCTCTTTCGAAGTCCAAGGGAAGGTGAATGATTGTGTCTTTGCGGACCCTGTTGGGTTCCTCTTGCACCGTCTTGGGGGCGTCTTGGACCGTCTGTCGCAGCGCGCAGTTGGCAGGCGTATAAGTGCACGGGCATGTGCGGGAGGAGGTTCCAAAAGTTTGCGTTTGCCAGAGGGGGGCAATTTCGCACGTTCCGCCATTGCACCTTGAAGTGCAAGTCGTGCGGATGACCGTTCGAGGGACGTCGAACGAGCCGAAGGTTAACGCTGATTGGGGGGAGAAGGACGAAGACGAGGAGGAGTAGGCAGAGCAAGATGAGCCAGAGGAGGAGGGGGGAGTTATCTGGAAGCCTTCGGTTGAACTCGCTACCGTGCCAAGGCTCTGGGTCAGAAACCTCTTGGCTGCATCTGAGAGCCTCTCGGGATGGCCCTCAGAGGGTGGTTTGGGGAGCATCCTGGCGGCTTTGAGGGGCCTCTCAGGGCCTCTTGGGGGCGTCTTGGGGGCCTTCTGGGGCCTCGCCGGGACGCCTCGGCGCCTCTGGCGTCCTCTTGGGGATATCCTGGGGGGACAAGCTCCAAAGGCCAGGTCGTGTTTCCCCTCTTGGGGCGACCTTGGGGTGGAATAGCTCCAGATGCCTGGCCGTATTCCCTTTCTGGGGGACCTTCTGCGGGCTCTCTTCAGCCGTCGTTGCATGGGCCCTCTTTGTGCCCTCTTGGAACGTTTCGGGGCCTGGAGGGCCTGATGGGCCATCTTGACTGAATCTTGGGGGCCCCTTGGGCCGGCTTGGACGCTGTCAAGACGCACGAGGCGAGAACGGTTTTAATGCGCGTTTTCCTGAGGGGATGTTGCGATTTTCGCCTCTTGGGCCTTTGCGGAGGTCTTCTGGGATCAGGCTTGGGCCGTCTTGGGGGCGCGTCGTGGGCCGTCTGGAGGCATTCCGGACCGTCGTGGGCCGACCCCGGGCCGTCCCGATTGTGTTTTAGACCATGTTTGCGTTCTGTTTGGGCATTGGGGGTTCTTTCTAGACTTGCAGAAACCGTCTTGAAGTCCCAAGGGGAGCCCATGGAGAGGCGGACCCCCCCTCATCACAATGAGATGTTCGACGGTTTCCAGGGCATCCAAGACTAACGATCCACAACGGCTGCAGAGAATAGGACCGCCAGATATCCCAGAATTCCTGCAATGCGTCCTGAGCCCTGACCCAATCTCATCATAACACCATTCGCATTTGCAGTTCCTGCATAGTTGGGGACAGACCTCGTCCCCTCTGTCTCAGGGCGAGTGTTGTCCGCTCAGACGCGGACGCCGTCTGCCAGCAAGCAGTTACTGTCCATCCTTGCTTGGCGGCGAGCAGAAGGGGGTAGGGGGAGGGGTGAAGGCTTCTTAGAAGGAGGCTGCTTCTTAGAAGGCGCCGGCCTTACATCTACAGAGAAGGCCCGCACTTTCTAAGAAGCAGGGGTGCTTCTAAGAAGCCTTCCCCCCTCCCCCTACCCCCCTCCTGCGCGCCGCCAACTTGCGGCCACCTGCCCCTTGAAAAGCGAGCCGACTCGAGGAGCAAACGACGGCGTGAGCGTGGTAGGGCTTCGGGCTACGCGCCGACAGCTTCCTCCAGGTAGCTCCGGCTGGGGGCGCAGAGCACCCCAGGGGTGCCGCAAACACATGCAGGGCGTGGAGACCGCCCTGGTCTCTTCGTTGGGCCTGTTGAGGTTTGCTGGGGCTTCTCGGGGGGGGCTTGTTGAGGCCAGGCAGAACCACCTGGGGGGGCTGTCTGTGTGCAACCGGGAGCCTCACCATCGAGGATCAAGGGACGGCGTGAGCATAAATTTTCGGAGGTCCGCGCAGATCCTTTGGTTCGTCGCTGGCGGTCCCACCCTCCACAACCAGTGACTGAACACGATTCCGACAGTGCACTTGCGCTGACTGTTCAGAGGCGCCAAACTAGAATCTTCCCCCATGGAGGTAAGCTGTTTCTGCCTTCCAAAGAGTCCTCGTGGGCACCGCTCGCGTTTGAGAACAGTTGCCCAATCATCCGTAAATCGATTGGGCGCCTCAAATGTTTGCACCATGAAACGCGAGGGAGTCTTATCCGATTGCCCGATTTCGCTAACCTGCTGCTTTCCATCTGTGCAGCTGCCAGGAACTCGAAGCTGCAGGATCATGAGATTTGAGAGGGGCTCAGGCTAAATGCCTCGACCGTCCTACCCACACGCAGTGGTGCGACTAGGAGCAATGTTTTGTACAACCGAGGAGGGCCGGAGGAGAGGGGAAGCAGCGGGCAGACGACTGGGAGGAGAATGATCAGTGGTGAGTGCGTGCGTGGGCAAGGAGAGAATGAGAAGGAGTGGTGTAGTTCGGCAGTCGACATGACGAAGCCAATCAGCTGTAGCGCCTTCATCGCTCAAACACTTCCAATGTAGCCGCAGTTGTAGAGACGGATCATTGCTTGTCGGGGGCCCAGGGCCATCAGATGACCATTTGGGACGAAAATCCAGCCCAGGGGAAGGGGCCACGGGGTCGACGCATTTGGGGGCCCCGTGTGGAACGGAGGCGGGAGGTGAGGCGATCGGATCCGCCGGAGCAGGAGGTGAGCGGAGCAGGAGCAGATGGAGAATGCGGGATAAGAGGAGGGGGGAGAGGCCCCTCCGACGGCACTCGACGGCCTTCAGGGTCCCCAAAGCCTCCCAAAATCTTGCCCCGCGAAGACGACAGCGACGACGCACGCCCCCGCTGGGCGGCAGCTCCTGAGCAGGCCCTGCCTGCTTCTGGCCCCGTCTGCGTCGTACAGTCCGGCTGAATCGGGTTCAGTCTTTGCCTAATTTGATCAGGGTTCGGCTGAACAGATCTTTGGAAGTAGCGGCAGCAGCGGGCGCTACTGGTCATGAAGCGAATGGGTCTGGTCCTGAGAGAAACGGGCCCTGAGGTTTTGCTCTGCTGTTCTAGTTCTCGACGCCTTCCTAAGGCCCCCAGACAGTCAGAAAACGGTTCAGGATGAAGAGTGGTTCTGGGGGGCGTCCCTGGGATCCAGGGCCAGCTTCCCTCAGGACCCGTTTGATTTATGCAAAGTTTCTGGGGGGTGATGGTAAAGGCATGCTTTGCGCCAGCGCGAATCGTGGCGTTGCCGTAACGGGGGAACAATGGAAGGTACCGCGAATAGATTCAAACGAATTCTATTGTGGCAGACTCCAGCTGGGCAGCCGCCTCATCTGGCCTTATCCGCGCCGACGACAAGAAATCTGCGCGGAACTACGAGGGTTGCTGCCCGGCTATCGGGAGTTGCCGTCCAGCCGCCGGAGACCGTTGGAGGCCGAGGGGCAACGTCGTGCGACGACATCCGTACATCGCCACCGCCCCCGGCGAGGCCCATCCTGGGCCCAGGAGTGGCGGACATGCGTCCCTGCGGGGGCGTACGCACCGTCAAGGGAGAGGGGCAAGGATCGGGATCGGGATGGGGCTGACGATCGGGATGTGTGCATAGACCTCTTCGCCTGTTGTCGGGGGGCCCATGGTCCATGGTCGGACAAGGAGTTCATCGCGCCCACCTTTCAGCAGCAGTCTCAGACCCCCGACGCTAAGTTTTCTCACGACGAGGGCCTCCCCTTCTCCGGGACTGCAAAGTTCCATCCCGGGTCGTTCATTCTGCTTGCGCGGAAGATTGTCAACCACCGTCCGTCATGATTTGGGTACGACGATGGGTGTTTGAGCATGGAACCCTTGTTGAACGCAGCCGTCCAGCTTTCGCGCCGAAAATCGCAGGAAACCGACGCAGACCCCCGAAAACCGTCAGAAGACCGCCAGAAGCCGCCGACAATTGTCCGAAGGCCGCTGAAGACTGCCGAAGACGGACCAGGATTGATGGGTACGGTGCGGGCGTTCATGAAAGGATGTACCCCGGAGGCTGCAGACCCTGGAGCAAATCCTCATCTGACGAGGGCGGCGGTGATATCCATGGCGACCCACGATGAGAGCTCCCCCGGCTTCCAGACCCTGGAGTCTTTATCCAGTGGTTATTTACCGAATGCCCTCACCTTGAGAAGGGGTCCATGGTCGAACAGGCAGGTCAGGGGCCGATTCATCACGCGACCAGCGCAGGCCCTCGCCGAGCACCCTCGCCGCCCAGGCCCTCCCTCGCCGCGCAGCGCAGGCCTAAACGACGCGAGGGGGGCGACCTCAGAGCCACCCTCCGGACGCGGAGCGGGCGCCCCGCGGCGGCGCCCGCGAGGTACCGCCAGGGCGAGCTCCAGAGCGCCATCGGGCGCCCGCGCGCCCGCCGCCGCCGCCGCCGTCTGCCGCCACCGCCGCCGTCGCGTCGTCGTCGTCGGCGTCGGCGTCGGCGTCGGCGTCGGTTTCGGCGTCGTCGGCGTCGGTGTCGGCGTCGGCGTCGGCGACATCGTCGGCGACGTCGCCGTCGCTGGCGTCGGCGTCGGCGTCGGTCGTCAGTCCGAACGTGCCGCGCTGCACGCGCCGCACTTTCGTCTCGGATTTCGGATCCCTGGGGCAGCTTGCGCCCGACTCCCTCGCGCCGTGAGAAAATGACGACGGGAAGGTTTCCGCTATTTTTTGTCTTTGGCGAATAAACCCCTCGTCAGTGTCGGCAGATTTCATCCAGCCAGCGAGCAGGCCCAGCATTCCCATTGCTCCTTGTTGCAGTTGAGTGCTGCTCAGCAGCTGAACGGGCTCAGGCGCCGAGTGAGTTCAGAAGAGAGCCTCCGACTATGGGAGGTCCGAAGAGGTCAGAAGGCAGGAGTTTCTTCTGGGGGACCAGTCGGCCGCCGTTCGGGCGAGCGGGCTCAGTCATCGAATGGGTTCAGAGGAGTGGAGCCCTTGGGTCCAGGGCTCTGGCGCCTGCAGGGGCTCGGGGCCTGGGCTCGAGAAGGTATGGGGATTTCGTGGCGTTCTGTGGCCTCGTTGGGCTTCGGGGGGTCGACGATTGAAGGTGCCATCCAGCCTGTCCCATCCGACATCTTTGCGGTGGGTGGGGAGATGGAGGAAAAGAGAGATGAGGATGAGGGGGAGGAGGAGGAGGAGGAGGAGGAGGAGGAGGAGGAGGAGGAGGAGGAGGAGGAGGAGGAGGAGGAGGGGGGAGGAGGAGGAGGAGAGGAGGAAGAAGGGCAGGAGGAGGACGTCCTTTACCCCGCCCAACCTTTCCCGCCTTCTCCCATTCCCTCCGCCTCCTCCCGCCTCCTGCCCCATCCCCTCCCCCATCCTCCCCCCTATCTCTCTCCCCCCCGCTCATCCCCCCTCCTCCGCCTCCTCCCTCCCAATCTTCATCCTGTCTCCTCCACGCCCTCGCCGAATCCCCGTTCTCCATTCCCCTTCCACCACTCCCTCCTCGCCCCTGTTCTTTTTTCTATTCCCTCCTCCTTCCTAGCGCCCTCGCCCTCCCCTTCTTCTGCTCCTCCCTCCCCCCCTCCTCTGGTTCCCCCTCCTCCCCGATCCTACTCTCCTCTCCCGACGTTGGCGACGACGGTGGCCGTCGAGGACGAGGAAAGGAAGGCCGATACCACGGCGACGGCGACGACGGCGCCAGCGATCGACGAGCGACGAATGGCTTGCGAGCCGCGAGCAAGCGCAAGGGCACCGCGGGCCCGGCGCCGCCCACTCGGCGATTCGGCGAGCCGCGAGGTGCTACGAGGAGGCCATCGAGCTCTGCACCGGCCTCTGCTGCTGCGCGCAGGACGGCGCCGTGTTGCTTGCTTCGGGGTGTCGTAGTGCGGGGGGTTCTCCCAGGGTGAGGTTACGGAGCGAACCCAGCTGAAGGCTCACACCTCTTCTTCCAGCAGCCGCTTGGAGCCCTTTGCCTCCCAACCTCACATCTGCCCCCACTCGCCTCACCGTGACGTCCCCCCGATTGTTCTTCACCGCGTGGCTTCCCCTGAAGCCTCGGACCACTTCTCCCCGGAAGCCTCGGCCCTTCGTCCCCAGCCGTTCCTTGACGCCCCGAGGGGGCCCGGCGTCGGCGCCGTCCTCGCCGCGCCGCCGACGTCGTCGTCGTCATCGGCGGCGTCGTCGTCGAGGGCGTCGTCGAGGGCGTCGTGGTCGTCCATGCCGCCGCCGCCCGGGCTTTCGCCAGCAGCGCCCGTGCGGCCGCGGGGGCCCTTGCGGGGCGGAGCGAGGCCTCGAGAGCGGGGGGCCGCTCGCGATGGGTGTCTCTCCGCAGAGGGGCTGCTCCCTCTCGTTCGGTAGCAAGTGATGGGGGCCCCGTATACATTCGCCATTCCGTCTTATGAGAGCCTTGGCGTCGATTATCGATTGCTGCTCGATGAGATAGCGCCGAGTTGGCGTCGATTGGCGTCGAATAGCGTCCATGAGCGTCCACTAGTGTCGGTCAGCGTCGATTCGCAAGAGCCAGCGGGATGGTATGGGAGGCTCCCATGAGTTGCCACCGAATTCTCGGCCTGCAGCGCCTGCCCAGATCAGCGGATACCAGATTTTGTTATGTTCCGATCGGCCGCGACCGATCGATGCTCCAAACCGGCCGCCGACAGATTCCACAAGCCGGTCGCGCCCGATCTGTCGCGACCGATTTTGAAGCACATCGGTCGCGCCCGATGCCAGGATTTAGAGCAACTTCGGTAGCGACCGATCTCGTCGGCAGCGAGCAACAAAAGCTTAGAGGATAAACAAAGACACAGACACAATGAATCGCCCATCTCCAGGATCACATGAGAAACTAAGGGACATGGGGGGCATACGAAAACCCAGAAGCTTGGAGACATTGTTGGTCACCCTTTGACCTGTTTCTGTGTACCCCTGTCCAAACATGCGACGTTTTTGTTTCCTTCCAAAACGCAGCTCCGCGAAGACTCGCCCCCATCCTAAGTCGTCTCTTGACGGTCCTGTGGCCCAGTGAGGGCCCAAAGAGGCCGAAAACGGTGAAACGAATCCCGTCCTATATTACCTAACAGCGAAGACTGATAGGTTTCTAGTAGGCTCAAAAGAAAGCACCATGACTCCTCAGGGGGGTCGGGGCGGGACCCGGGGCCTCTGCCGTCGAAGCCCAAATCGCGTGGGACATCCTCGCAAAATCGCTCTTGGCGCTGCTAGAACTCCATTCCCGGCGTACATTTTGGATGCCCGGAGCCAACTGTAGGCCACTTCGTGGTCTTCGAGTTCCCAGACCTCCATTCCCGGCGTACATTTTGGATGCCCGGAGCCAACTGTAGGCCACTTCGTGGTTTTCGAGTTCCCAGAACTCCATTCCCGGGCCACATTTTGGATGCCCGGAGCCAACTGTAGGCCTCTTCGTGGTCTTAAGTTTCCAGAACTCCATTCCCGGGCCACATTTTGGGTGCCCGGAGCCAACTGTAGGCCACTTCGTGGTCTTCGAGTTCCCAGAACATTTACTCCCGGGCCACATTTTGGATGTCCGGAGCCAACTGGCCACTTCGTCTTCTTCGAGCTCCCAGAACTCCATTCCTGGGTATGAAATTGAATGCCCGGAGCCAACTGTAGGCCACTTCGTGGTCTTCGAGTTCCCAGAATTCCATTCCTGAGGCAGGCTGAGGCTGAGGCTGAGGCAGGCTGATGCTGAGGCAGGCTGAGGCTCAGGCTGATGCAGGCTGAGGCTGAGGCAGGCTGAGGCTGAGGCCGAGGCTGAAGGCAGACTGAGGCTGAGGCTGAGGCTGAGCAGGCTGAGGCTGAGGCTGAGGCAGGCTGAGGCTGAGGCTGAGGCAGGCTGAGGCTGAGGCTGTGACTGCGACTGCCGTTGCCACTGCGACTTTCATCGCGAATGCGACTGCGACTGCGAGAACAGCAGAATTCTACAACTGTATTCTCATGTGAATCTTAAGGGGAATTCTTCCAGATATGCTCCTACACATCGCTGTTAGGTTGCTTTGCCGGGGTAATATTTTTTTTATCCGACGCGAGGCACGTCGGCCCGCCGCGCGGGTGCGCGGCGCAGAGCTGCGCGAAGCCGCAGCTGGCAGGGGCGGAGGCCTGCTGGCCCCGGCGCGGGGCGCGGGCCTTCGCGCCTCGTTTGCCCTTCCCCCTCCCCTTTCCCCCTCCCCGCGCCTTCACCGTCGCGGCGTCCCCTCGTCTGTCGTTTTCCCTTCTCTTTGCCACTGGGCTCCCCTTGCGCGTGTAAGAAACATGCTCCCTCGGCCCCTGTTGCCCAGGTGGTTGAGCGTGTAGCGGGCGCCCCTCGCAGAGAGGCCTGGCCCCTTGCCTCCCTCCGCCCCTGCGGAGGTCGGCTCGGGCCAGGCGCAGCGCGGCGCAAGGGCTCACTCAGTCCTCCTCCTCCTCCCCCTCCTCCTCCTCCTCCTCCTCCTCCTCCTCCTCCTCCTCCTCCTCCTCCTCAAGCAACTTGGGCTCAGACCATTTTGGCAAGAGCCCGCCTTCTGTGCCTGCGCGCGGTGCTTGGGGCACTTCACCCACGCTCTCCAGGAGAGCCGCTGGTGACGACTAAAACAGAAGGTTCTCACACATGATGTCTCGTCCTTGATGTCAGGCTCGGGAAATTTGTTTTTGGCGCCCATGCTGTTCACTGGAGCGACGCACTTGAGGGGCTCAGATCGGGTCGCGTCCACTTTCCGTCTGGCCGTCCTCCCGTTCTTCCTTGTCCCGCACGTGTTTTTCAAGCTCCCACAGGCTGGGCGGGCACTGGTTTCGTCATTTACCTTTCAGCCATCCCTCAGGGCCGCACGGAGGGGGTATTCTCTTTCGCTGGCCTCGGGCGTTTGCTGGTTGCAATGGCGCTCAGTTCCCATCATCTACAATGCTGCTATCTCCCAATGCCGCGTGGGGAGGGTACGGGCGGCGGCCTATTTGTTCAGCGTTGCTGGGACTGGGCCTCTTGCTGTTATCTTTTTCACGCGGTGCTGCGAATGGTGGTCAATTATTGCAAGGGCTGGAGGCTTTTTCCTTGAATGCAATGAGGCTGTTTTCGGTGTGAACGATCCGTCAGGGTTGCCCGATGACCAGTTTACTGTAGTGGGCCGTATCGAGTTTGCTTCGGTTCAGCTTATTTGTATCAAGGTGGCTTTTGGCATTATTTCAACTACCTCTGTATTTGTCTGGTGTTGAAGGGGTGAACTGACATTCTATGTTTGGGAGGAACCCATCCGCGGGCTTATGGTTCCACGGGCTTCTCTGCCAGCTTTTCAGAAGAAGTGCGTCCTCTTCCTGTCCGTCGTGCTCTTCGACAAGTCCAGGGGGGGGGGCGTCTGTTGCGATCTTCGCTTCGCGACTGTTCTCACTCACTCACTCACTCACTCACTCCTCCTCCTCCTCCTCCTCCTCCTCCTCCTCCTCCTCCTCCTCCTCCTCCTCCTCCTCCTCCCCCCCTCTCTCGGAGGAGGAAGAGGTACCCACACGGCCACCTCTGTAGTGGTATCGGTTCATTCTGGTTTCCCCGAGTCAGTTCTCCTCTTCCTCATCGTCCTCCTCCTCTCTCTCTGCCGCACCGACGAGCCAGATCAGGAGTTCAGAGGACGAAGAGATACCGATGTTGGAGCCGTCTGGGCGTCCGAAGTGGCCCGGCACTGGTTCTGGCCAGCAGGAAGGGCGGACAGGTTTGAGGTTCTGGGTTCGGGAACGGTTTTGCTTGGGTTTTGCCTCTGGGTCCCGTTTTCTGGCCCTAGGACGGTGAAAAACGGATCCCGGGTGACAAGCTGCAGATGGACCTCGAGAGGGGTCCCATGACAGACCCTTTTCCTGACAGATTCTGGGGGTCCTTACCAGTTCAGACCCCCCAGCCGTCTCCAAGTCTGGACTGCCTCGCCCCGTTGCTTGCTGGCCTGCCCCCGTCTTGCTTTTCAAACCATCTTGTGGTGTTGGGTCTTCGTTTGAAAAGACAGCGCCCCCCGTTCTCCTCTCCTCCTCTCCTCTCCTCTCCTCCTCTCCCTCCTCCCTCCCTCATCATCAAAATCATCCAATCGCCCCATCATCCTCATCCACGCGTCCCCCATATCGATTTCGGCACACCCTGCACACGCTTCGTGGCTCCATAGGGAGCTCAGCCGAAGGCCCCAGTGGCAGGGTTCGTATGGCGCCGCCGCCACCGTTTCGGCGCACCCCCCACACTCATCGTGGCTCCATAGGGAGCTCCGCCGAAGGCCCCAGTGGCAGGGTTCGTATGGCGCCGCCGCCACCGTTTCGGCGCACCCCTCAAACTCTTCGTGGCTCCATAGGGAGCTCCGCCGAAGGCCCCAGTGGCAGGGTTCGTACGGCACCGCCGCCACCGTTTCGGCGCACCCCTCAACACTCCTCGTGGCTCCATAGGGAGCTCCGCCGAAGGCCACAGCGGCAGGGTTCACATGGCACCGCCGCCCTCCTTTCGGCGCACCCCGCGCACGCTTCGTGGCTCCATAGGGAGTTCCGCCGAAGGCCCCAGCGGCGGGGTTCGCATGGCACCGGCCCTCATCGGCGCATTCCCCCCACACGTCGACCACGGCATCCTCGATATATGGTCCCAGTCGCTCTGGATTTCGGCCAGCGTGCACATTCAGAGCATCCATGCCCGCGCGGTCTGGATCCCGAGGCGCGACTCCATGGACGCACAGTCGCACGGAAGGGCGCTCCGCGCTCGGGCATCTGCGAGAGAAGCCGCCACGTATCCATGGGGTCGTGATCGAGGAGGCCAGGCCGCAGGGCCGTGGGCATGGATTCAGGAGGGAAGCAGAAATACAGACATACGCAAACGACGATGCCCAGGAACAGATGGGGAAATATGGG